CCCGATGTACTTGCTAGATAACGCAAAACCCTCTTAGCGGCCGACCAGTGCTGTGGTCGGTGTCTGCCTGTAGCCACAAAGCGGATACATGAGGCAACCCACCAGCTCTGCGTAAGGACCACTGGGCTCTATTGACTCCTCAGGAACTGGAGCTGAGAGCCTGTGGTCTACTCGCAGAGGTGTAGGCTGTACTGAGGAGAACTGAAGGCCGAACCTCTGAAGGACCAGGCGCACCAAGTGAGACTGTGTGAGAGTGATGGTGCGCGCCGATCCGAACCTGGAGATCTGCAGGCCAAGGTAACGACGCAGCTCTCCTACGTCAGTGCAGGTGTGCCTCCTGAGCAGTTCGGCCTTGACGAAGGCCAGTGAATCTCTGTCTGCAGTAGCGAAGACCATGTCGTCTACGTAGACAAAAATGTAGAACAGAGTCTGGCCAGCACGAACGAAGAGCTTGGGGTCTGCAGAGGATGGAAAGAACTGCAGGTCAGCTAGCGTAGCACACAGCGTATTGTGCCACTCACAGGGCGCCTGGCCCAGGCCGTAGACCGGGTGCCAGAGGAGCCACTGGGTCCCAGTCAAAAAGGTACCGGTTAAGCCCTGTAGAATGCCATAGGTAGACCTGCTCGTGTAGGCTGCCTTGAAGAAAAGCAGCGGAGAATTTGAGGGAGTGAAGCTCGTAGTCACGCTGTGCATCTTTATGTAGCAGCGCCCAAAGAGTAGTCATCTTCGGGGTCAGGGCAAAGGTCTGAAAGAAGTCCACCCCCTCGCGCTGACTGAAGCCTCGAGCCATGTAGCGCGCCTTGAACACAGGCGGCTCTCTAGGAGGGCGCTTCACCTGGAAGAGCCACCGGCCATCGACTACGTTCACCCCAGGTGAGGGAACTGCGTCAACATAGGTGCCGGTGGATCTCCAATATGCCATCTCCTGCTCCATGGCAGCTATCCACTGAGAGGCTCAGGGTCCCGAGGTCACCTCAGTGTAAGAGCGACGGGTCAGGATGTCAAAGGCGTCTGGGTCACCCTCAGGGACTAGCAGCATGGAACAGAGATGGGGAGGAGCCTCCGATAAGAAGGCAAGCTCGTACTGCCTGTCCTCTAGGACGTCAGTGCCAAGGACAGGAGCACCCCCGATGGATGGAGGACGGACAGGGTCAGAGACCAGAGCTGTGGCGTAGTCAAGGCAGCGGGTAGAGGCGAAGTTAGCGACAGCAGCGGCAACAGCATCAAGACTCGAGACAGGAACAGATGGGTCCGTAACGGGAGAGGCAAGGACAAGCAGCACCAAGGTAGTCAGACAGAGGGGAAGGCACAACAACGAGCGACGACGGAGGAGGAGACGGGAGGAAGGGAGGACAAGAAGCATGGGAACGAAGCAACATTGGGTGAGAACGTTGAACAGGAGAGACAGGAGTAGCACGAAAGGAGTGGCGCGACCAGACGTGAGACGGAGGCGTCGGGTGAGGAGACAGAGGAGAAGTAACAGGAGGGGATCGAGGTGGGAAACGAGCCGAGGACGAGTCCGGCGGAGGAAACACAGGACCATGGATAGGAAGGGGAGGAGACGGCAGGAGAGGCGCACGCGAGCAGTCAGTGGAGGGAAGGCCGAGCAAGCAAAGGGCGGACACCGGCGGCGACTGCCGTTGCTGCTACTGCTCGACGCCGACATTGGGACCGCCAGCTACACCACGGCTACCTCTGGAACATTCCACTCCAGCACCTAGAGAACAAGTACACCTAGAGCGAGAACCCTCTCCAGCAATAGTGCCACCCCGAGCCCGCCGTGACAAGCCGCGATAGGAGCCCCAGGACTAGCACCCTCCTCAACGCCAGCACCCACACAGTCCGCGAACGGCTGCTACTGCTGCGACAGTGGCGGCGGCTGCGGCGGCGGCGAGTTCGACGGCAGAAGAGGAGATACCGGGGGAGAGACATGCGGCAGGTACTGCACCGTCAGGCCACCAGAGTCAGCCGACTCCTCGACCGGGACCACCGACGGGAGGGGAGTGACGTAAGAGACACCAGAGGGAGCAAAACTAGGAGGGAGGGGGGCAAGGGCTACTGGGGGAGTGGGAACCAGAAACAGGGGTGGGGAAACCGGGAGACCTCGATGGGGAAAGCGACAGTAAAATGAGACAGACTTGTCGAGAGTGACGTCATGCGAGTGAAGGGAGCGGTGAGACAGCGATGGTAAAAGTGCCAGTCAGACGAATCAAGGGGGAAACCAAGGAAGATACAGGGGACAGTGCGGGCATTGAGCTTGTCCGTGCTAGAGGCACAGACGTGAGCGAGGCATCCCCAGATGTGGAACGCAGACGCGTCACCAGGAGACCCGATCTAGAGGAGGGTCGGTGAAACCTGCGGCTGTTGGGAGTGGGGTCACACGTTCAGCCGGTGAGCAGCGTGGCGCACAGCGAACGGCCACAGAAAATAGAGTGCATTGGCATGGATCATGGAGGTACGAGCCACCTCCATGACCAAGCCGATGCATTGCTCAACGACCCCATGTTGCTGTGGGGAGTCCGGCAGGGTGTACGGCTGGGTGATGCCCTCAGCACGACAGAACCAGGCAGGTTGCCCTTCCCGGGCCTGCTCCCCATGCTTCCGCCGCGTACTTGCTCTTCTCTCGTCATTCTCGTCCCGCCGTGGCAGCCATGCCGAGCTGCCATGGCGGCTCCGTCGTGCTGCGGTCGCAGCCCCGACGCGCTGCTGTGGCGACGTCGTCGTGCTGCCATGGCAGCGTCGACGTGTCGCCGCGACATCCACGTCGCGCTGTGGCGGCGTCGTAATGCTGCCGTGGCAGCGTCGTCGCGCAGAAGCGGGCCGCGCTTCGTTTTAGGCAGCGCCAGCCCTCACGACCGCACGCAAGGCCATTGCCAGCCACGGGCGTGTTGCTCGACCACACCCCCTTCTCCTCCTGTGCCTTCCTCTCCTCCAGCCGCAGCTGTTGCCTCAATGTCCGGTTGTCGCCGGGCTGTGCCACGCTGACGAGTGACGCGAGCCTCGCCGTAGCCGCCGCCGTCGTCGAAGCCGCCAGTGATGCTGCTGGCCTTTCTTGGCACCGCACGCCGCCGCTGTGGCCGCTGTCGTCACCGCCGCCTCTGATGCTCTTGCTGCCACCCGCCGGGGGTGATACCGCTTCGCACGAAGGGTAGAAGCCTCAGCAGCTGCGCCACATTGGGGTGCTATGGTTTTGGGGGTGTTTCGTATGGGGTGGGCTTGCTGCTACCAAGCCTAGGGGGTGTGTTAAATTGTATTGGTTATACATAATTGTAGGCTTGGTATGCGTTATTGAAACCTACTGTAAAGGGTACAACTCCCTCCTCGTATCCCTCTCTCTTCTAATCTCACTTTCTCTTTCTTTTCTCTCGTCAACTTCCTCTTCTAGCTAAACCCTCACGCCATTCCATGGCCGTCTACCATTCCTAGCATTCGTTAACTTTGACATGAGGCTCGCTACAGCGAATACTGCGTACAGTGCGCGGCAGCAACCTCGGCCCTGAATTTTCGCGTAAAACCAAGCCCGCCGCTGATCTACTCGGGCCCGAACCTGTTATCAAAGCGCCCCGTCATCCTCGGAACTCTCAAGCCCTTAAACCTCGAGGTTTAACCCTGATCAACTCACCCTATATAAGCTTGGGGTCTTCTTCATTTGTATCCAATAAATTATAGTTACGCTCCCCTATAGTATTCTATGCTATAATCTGATTTATAATTCATAAAAACTTTGGCATTAGGGCGTGTGGCAAGTAAGATATGGGGGAACCCTCTGCTCCCATCGTCTGATCGTTTACCTTTATACCTCTCACTAATTGTTTTGAAACGTACAAACAAAAGCACACTGTAGCGCGTTTTACATCAAATATATTGCCTGGCCTTGGCTGAAGGTGCGTGTCGTGGCTCGGGGGGGACCCTGCAAGTCCGGAACTCGGGCTGGTTACACGATTCGTTTCGACATTTCGATGGGACTTCGCGAGTTCCTCCCCGGGCAAAAGTTTTGCCGTCCTGGAATTTCCAGAAGCTCACGCCAGATCAAGAATCACGCAAGCCGAGGACGGGTTGGTGAGAAAGGCCAATTCCTGCTGGTGGAGCCTAGCTGGTCCCCGTGGAACCCTGTTACAGCACATGGATGGTTTGGAGAAATATTCGCCCTCCCCTTCGATTTTTTTTTTTTTTTTTTTTTTTTTTTCGTCAGACCACTTGCCGTTGGGGTGAATGTCTTGTAACCAGATGTCGGTCCTGGGAGGAGAGAGGTGCAGTACGAAAGGATTCCGTCGAGTTCTTCTCCCTTCGCTTCCCATCTCCTTCCACTTCACCACTTCAACAGCTCCCTTTCTCTCCCATTCGGTCAGAGCTCGCGTCCTGCCAATGGCAAGCTCGCTAGGGCGTGTCCAGCGCGTTCATTTTGTCATAACGCGCACTTTTTATTACGTCTTCTGTAGATGTTCGGAAAATTGTTACGGGGGATGTAGATGTCGCGAGGCTCACCTTTCGACCACAGAGAGCATGCTTGGCTCGGCTTGTGTCCAGCCTTCGACACAACAAATGCTCTGCGCAGCGAAAACAAAAGAGCTAGGCGAGGCTGGAAAAATATACAATTATTTTACAGAGTTACGGTATTACGAGCCTGGAAAACGATGCCTCACTGTTTTCGCCACCGCATTGACAAATTTTCCTGAATGTGACGAATTCGTGTGTTTACCTTTCGCCAGCCATGATTTGTCGTTTCTGGAGGGAGTTCATTTCGGGCACGAATTCCAGCCGCTTTCGAAACGTGCGCAACACGACTGCTGGCACGCTTCGAGAGCGTCTGCTCAGAACGTGCACTTTTCGAGCGGGTCATAGACACGGAATTTCGGGTTACCATATCTAAATTCCGGACTGTCATGCCTACTGAATAGGATTCAACGCGCTGGACACGCCCTAGCCCACCTTCTTCAGCTCGCTCCATCCCACAGTCCCCGTCACCTCACCTCCCTCCTGCCACTCACGTAAGCTTGGCCCCTCCCACTTGCGCAGCTAGGCACTCTCTCTCTCCCACTGGCGTTAGCTCATCCACCGTGCTGCCAGTGTCATTACCAAGTCCACGCGACAGACTTCCAACAGGATTCAGTAGTAGGCTCGACTGTTCTCCCGAAGCCGAGGCGCACCCGCTGTTCCCTCCCTAGCTTCCCGCCGCGTCAAGCCCCACGCCTTCTCGGCTTGCGCCTTAGGCTAGCCCTCCATGGACGTCCTTATTAATGCCCGCTGGTTCCCGCTCCAACTCAACAAACTCGATTCCGGTCGCATCTCCGGGGCTTCTCTGAGCCTCACACATCGTATTTCTTCAAGTTCCGCGCTCACCGCATCCAACCCCCTAGAAAGTCCTTCAGATCCAGCGTCAGAGCACACGTTTCTCACAACACCTGCAAATCCTCCTCCCGATCTCGAGCAATGGCGTTCCCTAGGACCTTATCCTTAGCCCTCCTCGCGGCTCTCTGCCTGGTCCACATGGCCGTGGCGGCGAATCTGCCGCCCGGCGGGTGCCACACGCGGTACGTGTGTCCGTACATCGACGACCTGGCGACAGCGACCATCGACGACACCACGTACACGAGCTACCCGTTCCTCGGCGACTTCCAGGGCGTGTTCAACGACCAGGGCGGCGCGTTCGTGCCGTTCCAGCGCGGGTCGGGCCCCGTGAACTACGAGCGGTACACGGAGGTGGGCACCATCTTCGACGTCGTCAAGGGCGTCTACGGCGACACGCTGCAGGAGTGCTGCCGCGCCTGCGCGCGCTCCACCTACTGCTACCAGTGGCACTGGTTCAAAAAGTAAGCCCAGGCCCGCCGACCTTCACCCCTCCCCCCTTCCCCCCGCTGCTTTAGGGTTACGCGCTTGCTGCTTTTTTTACTCTCTCGTTTTCCCTGGCTTTTGTTTTGAAAGCCGCTGACTTGCTCTCTTATGACTAGGTGTCTAGTAAACGCAACTGATTTGCCGCTGCGAGTGTTCTTTCACTGATTCCCGTCCCCCTCCGATTTTTCCCTCCCCCGCGCGTCTCTCCGCAGCTCGCGGCTGGCGGGCGAGAACGCGAACGTGGCGGGGTTCATCGACCGCGTGCAGTGCTACCTGCTGGAGAGGAACGGCGGGTCGGGCATGTCGGGCGACTACCAGACGCCGTACGCGGGGGATGCGACGGAGCAGACGGCCAACGCGGCGAGCATCCCGCTGAGCTTCGTGGGCGGGCTGTGCAACGGCACGGCGCTGGTGGAGAACGACCCGCATCTCACGGGCGCGCACGGCACGCGCTACGACTTCACGGGCCGCCTCGACAAGTCGTTCTGCCTCTTCTCCGACCGCCGCTTCCACGTCAACATGCTCCTCAACGGCTACCAGGGCGAGCCGCCCGCCCTCGCCGCGTCCGCCGCGTCGGCGGGGACCGACTCCGTGGGTAAGGAGTCGTCGACGGAGCTGCACACGTGGATCAAGGAGGTGGGCGTGGTGTGGGTGGGCGCGGACGGCGCCAACCACACGCTGCGCATGGTGGCGCGCAAGGGCAAGCAGCAGGAGCGCGGCGCCGACGGGTTCGTGGCGCTGCTGGAGGTGGACGGGGCGGCGACGCGCGTGCCTGGTGTGAGCGAGACGGTGGCGACGGAGAGCGGGGTGGCAGTTACCAAAGTGGCGGAGGCGAAGGAGGGGCCGTTCGACGTGGACCAGTTCCAGGTGCGCGTGGCGGGGCTGGGGGAGCTGGACGTGCGCGCGCGCGTGGCTCACCCGCTGCTGCAGACGGCGGAAGAGGCGGAGGCACACTTCAACGTGGAGCTGTCGGACGTGGCGATGACGTCAGCCGTGCACGGCGTGCTGGGGCAGACGTTCCGCAGCACCCCCGAGCAGCTGCAGCGCGCCGTCAAGTACTCGCACCTGGCGGCGCTGCTGCACCGCCCCGTAGACGTCGACAAGGCGGACGGCAGCGGCTTCCTGGACGGCCGCGTGGAGGACTACATCTCCTCCTCCGTCGTCGCGCCCGACTGCAAGTACGCCAGCTTCGGCACCACCGAATAAAGCGTCTTCGAGGATCTCGAGTAAAGTCGGCCCAGTAAAGTCGTCTAGACTCGACTTTAAGGACTTGCTGCATAGACACCTGATACTGCTGGAGAGCAGTATACACTACACCAGTAGCAAATGCCCATGAGCGCAAGCTAAGCTGGCCGTGAAAGGCAAATATATTGTATACGCCCGGATAAAAGACCCCCATGGAATAGAAGACACCAGGGCCTCAGAGTCGTTTTGGGGCACGCTGATCGCTCAGGGTCCCCCCCCTTTAGCTCCGTGTTTTTTCAGGCCTCGCATAAAATCTTACGCTGATCAATATGGGTGTTGTAATTTTTTCACGCTGAATAAACAGTCACGTACGGTATGCGCTGGAGATAGCAGTGGCTGGCAACTTTCGAACAACCTTTGAGAACCTGCCGAGCACTGTGTGCTGGATGAAGGGAGTGTTAGAATACGTGAATAAATTACTAGAGGGGAAACAGGGAACATATAGCAGTTGGGTTATACTCACTAGGAGCACACACCGATACTAGCCTATAACTTCTACATGCATGATATGTATAAGTTGACAAACCCCCTAGGCTACAGAAGGGGTGGTGCAAGCAAGACGCACACAGCTCAGGGTGGAACTACTAGTCCAACCACTGAGGCAGGGGTCCAAAGACCAGTCAGCAAGAGTACAGACAAGACAAAAGCAAGCCAGGGCGGCACTACTAGTCCAACCACTGGAGGTAAGGCCACAAGGCCAGTCAAACATGTATACATAGTAGAGAATACACAATCAGGGTCCTAACAAGTGGGTAGCTACAGGAACAAGACAAAGCTGTACACAGTGCCGCTGATGATCTTTAGGCGCAAGCGCCTTCGTAAAGATATCAGCTGTGTTGGCACCGGAGGCCAAGTGAACTACACGGGCCTGGCGACGCTGGTATAGCTCGCGCAGGAGGAAGTACCGCAGCTGGATATGCTTCACTCTGCCCTCAAGCCGAGGCTCCTGACACAGGAGGATCATGGTCCTGTTGTCAGCGTACAGGACCAGGGCAGAGCTAGGCCGCTCACCTAAGTCAGTGAGCAAGAAGGTCAGCCAGCGGAGCTCCTGTGCCGCCATGGCACCCGCGTAGATCTCAGCCTCACAGCTGGACTGAGCAACAGACGACGAGCGAGTGGATCTCCAAGAGATAGCACCCGAGCCAAGGCTAAAACAGTAGCCCTGAGACGACCTGAGCGTCTCAGAGTCGTCTGCCCAAGAAGCGTCTGTGTGCCCTGTAAGGACATGACCCGCAGAGGGGTCAGTGAGAGCGACAACAGCAGGCGCGGCAAGCGGCGTGAGCGTGGAGCGGTCGCGGAAGAAACAGGCAGAAGCACCGGAGTCGAGAGTGAAGGACAGCGAGGCAGTAGCAGAGGCCGGGGACGATGCCGGTGCAGGAACGAGGCTAGGCAACCTAGGCAGTTCTACGCCTGATGCAGCAGGGGAAGCTAAGCTACACAAGTGTGCTACACCTAAACTAAGGTACATAGGGTAATAAGATCCAGCAACACTAGAAGCGTCAGCATACAAGACATGCAAAGCAGCACCTATCTGATCCATATCTAACTCAAAGATCGGTACGCCCTGGCGAAGCAGGCTGTGCCAGTCGGGGATGTCCGGGGCCGGGCCAAAGCGACGAGGAAAGAGATCGTCGAGGCGGCGGAAACAGCGGGCGGTCGGGTGCGGGCGGCGGCACAGAGTGCCGCGGAGAGGCCCGGTCTCAAGCTGGTACTAGCAGGTCACAGTTCTGGAGCTACCGGTAGACGCCAAGCTGCGCGGGCCAGCACCACGGCCACCACCACTGGAGGTGCCGGGCCCACCAGGCGGGAGACGAGCCCACGGCTGCGGCGGCTGCTGCTGGGACGGCGGCGGCTGCTGCGGGGGCTGCTCCTGCTGCGAAGGCGACTGCGACTACTCCTGCCCACTGGTGGTAGTCCCCTTAGGGGGACTACCGTCGCCACCACCACTACCATCACTACCAGCGCCACCACCACGACCTCCCTGACGGCCACGGCCAACGCGGCGCGGGCGCTGCTGCGGGTGGACCACAGCAGCCATCTCGGTAAGAGGGGTCGTAGTGGCGACCGCAGCCGAAACGTCAGTAAACGTGCACGGGGAGGGGGCACAGCCGTGAAAGATAGAGACTGCCAGCGCACCGCTCGACTGAGCGATAGTGCGCTGGCGAGTCTCGATCTCGGTGAGGGTGTTGACAAAGGCGGTCAGGGTAAGGTCACCCGGGTGCTGGCTAAGGAAGCGGTCGCGGGCACTAGCTAGGCGGTCCGGCAGGCGCATGGCGATAAAATAGAGGGTCATGCAGAATGGGGGGGGGAGAGCAGTGAGCTGGGCAGCAGTGCTGGCAGTGCGATAGCGAGACTCTAGGGCACGCAAGTGAGTGGCAAAGTCTGCAACAGTAGGGAAGGCAGCAAGGTCTGGGAACAGCATCGGGAAGAGCAAGCGGCCGGCAGAAGTGGATGCAGGCGTGGAATAGCGAGCAACAACATCGTCTAAATAAGCTTTGGCCGTATCAACCGTGGCGAAACGCGAGCGCTCAGACACAGGGAGGTTGTGACTGATACCAACCTATGCTACTGCATCGCGGGAGTCCCAGACCGCACAGGCAAGCGCAGCAGTAGAGAAAGCCCCACTCTCAGCGGAGGTGGGTCAGCAGGGAGGGGAGCAGGTGCAGGGGGGTGGGGGAGCAAGCCATCAGCATGGACAACCAGCGAGTGTCCATCCTGGCGCTGACCTGTAAGCTGACGGCGGAGATCGGAGTGCCAGGCGACGAAGTCAACCGCGTGGCCCTCAGCGTCCAGGCGGAGCACGAAGTCAGCCATCGTGCAGGGTCAGCGACACAGCTCCTCAGCGACACAGCGGTACAGCTCCACAGCTCGGCAGAAGCACAGCGGCACGGGGACACGGCGGCAGCACTCTTCAGTAGGGCGGCTGCAGGGGCGCCCCAGCGCGGGCTAGCAGAGGACACGGGGCCCGAGGTGGCACGGCAGGCCGAGCAGGCACGAGGAGGGGCCGGGCGGGCAGGAGGAGGGGCCAGGCGGTCGCACTAGGACCGGGCGGGCGCTAGGAGGGGCCGAGCACGCGCGGGGCGGCCGGGTAGGCGCAAATGGGGGCCGGGCGGGCGCGAGGAGGGGCCGGGCGGGCGCTGCTGGGGCCGGCTAGGAGTGGGCTCGACGGTCTGTGGGTTGGCCAGGAGCGGGCGCGTGTAGCCAGGGGGGGCTAGCTAGGAGCGGGCGCGACGGCCAGTGGGGCCAGCTAGGGGCGGGCGCGAACGGCCAAGGGGACGGCTAGGAGCGGGCGCAAACGGCCAAGGGGCCAGCTAGGGGCGGACGCGACGGCCAAGGGGCCGGCTAGGGGCGATCGCGACGGCCAGGGGGGCGAGCTAAGGGCGGACGCGACGGCTAGGGGGCCAGCTGAGGGCGGACGCGACGGCCAGGGGGTCAGCTAGGGGCGGACGCGACGGCCAGGGGGCCGACTAGGGGCGGACGCGACGGCCAGGGGGCCAGCTGAGGGCGGACGCGACAGCCAGGGGGCCGACTAGGGGCGGACGCGACGGCCAAGGGGCCAGCTAGGGGCGGACGCGACAGCCAGGGGGCCGGCTAGGGGCGGTCGCAACGGCCAGGGGGGCCAGCTAGGGGCGGACGCAATGGCCAGGGGGCCGACTAGGGGCGGACGCGACGGCCAGGGGGCCAGCTGAGGGCGGACGCGACAGCCAGGGGGCCGACTAGGGGCGGACGCGACGGCCAGGGGGCCAGCTGAGGGCGGACGCGACAGCCAGGGGGCCGACTAGGGGCGGACGCGACGGCCAGGGGGCCAGCTGAGGGCGGACGCAACGGCCAGGGGGCCGACTAGGGGCGGACGCGACGGCCAAGGGGCCAGCTAGGGGCGGATGCGACGGCCAGGGGGCCGGCTAGGGGCGGACGCGACGGCCAGGGGGCCGACTAGGGGCGGACGCGACGGCCAAGGGGCCGACTAGGGGCAAACGCGACGGCCAGGGGGGCCAGCTAGGGGCGGACGCGACGGCCAGGGGGCCAGCTAGGGCGGACGCGATGGCCAAGGGGCCGGCTAGGGGCGGACGAGAGACTAGGGCGCGGGCGGGTGAACCTAACCTTCTCGATACCATGTTAGAATACGTGAATAAATTACTAGAGGGGAAACAGGGAACATATAGCAGTTGGGTTATACTCACTAAGAGCACATACCGATACTAGCCTATAACTTCTACATGCATGATATGTATAAGTTGACAGGCAGAATACTCTCCAGAGGGGCGGGATTCTGGTTGGTCACAGTCAAGTCGGCGTGATTGACGGGGAGGGTGGGGGGAAAATCACGGAACTCACGGGTGGGGGGTTTGGGGCTAGGAATACGCTATTACAAGAATCAGGATCGGGCCCTAATACGACGCTGGAAAAACAGGTCTCACTACACTTGTCACGCTTATCGATCAGAGTTCACTCCTAAAAAGCCGCTGAAATTTCAGACCGTTGTCTTAAAAAAACCCTGTCTCATCAGGGTCATCCCCCCAAAAAGCCCTGATTTTACCTTGAATCATGATAAAAAGCCTGCAATCTGAGGCCCTGGAAGACACTATGTCTTGTCTTCGGCCTCTCCGTTTATAAGACACACTTTTTAAGTCAGTATGAGACCCAAGTGACGTACACTCCCTAAAACCTCGGTTAGCGCTTTCCGCCCACCCAAAAAAGACTCGGTTTATAAGATTTTTTTCCATTTATAAGAAACCCGGACCCCCTGATTTTACCCGTTTATAAGAAACTTCACCACTTTCTTGCTCGGTATATGATAAGACATAGGGGTCTTCTATCCGGGCGTTTACGGTAGCAGCGCTCTTCATTTCAGATGGGTGACATACAGGCCCTAAGATTCGTTTTGGGACATGCTGATTCATCATCCCTGCCTCCTGCATTAAGTATGATTTTGTAGCCTTGCCCCTGGAAGAAAGGCTGAAAATAGCAGCGTTACCTAAAAAATTTATGTTGATAATTCAGCGTTAGTCGAAAATTTAAGTCTGATGCACATTCTGAACGGTCTTTCAGAAATTAGCGCTGACTTTCAATAACGAAGTACACTCTTGCCTGAGGGCGTGTTCTTGCCACGAGGCAAACTTCTAGGCGGTGTAATAATTCGAAAGGTGTTGCAGAAGACTAAGTACAGAATCTGCAAACACGAACACTTGGAAAATCTCAAGTGTTAGCCTAGGATCTTTACTGGAATGGTAGACTAGTAAGGCAGCGAAAGTCTTGTAAGAGTGAACCTGAGTATAAGTTTCTGCAGAAGTT